ACAGGACTCACAACAACGGCAATGAGAACCGGACACCCAACTGGACTACACAACCCCAATGGCCAGAAAAGAAAAAAGGAACACCATAGACTTACCGGAATTCAGCAGTTCCCCACCGATCTGCGCCGAATGGCCGCAGCGAGAAACCCGACATCCAGGGCAGGAAGAAGACCAGCATCACCAGCGGACAGAAGTCCAAGACCCGGCCGGAAGTGCTGGGGCGAACCCCACACACTCGACAGCCGAGCCCAGTTTGGTTCCAGGGAGGGAGCCGGGAGACACAGGAGCCCCGCCTATCTGGGTCGGCGGCAAAGCTCAAGTGAGATTGTGCAGGTCAACTAGGATGTCCAGACGCCCAGCGTACCTGCGTGACTACGTGACTCTGATTAACTTTGACAGACAGTTTACTAACTAGGAGGGGGGGTGTTATGTCCTTATAAGGACACCCGCCGGGGATTGGCTAATCTTCCGGCGGGAAATTCAAAATGCTGTCTCTGGGCGGTGCGACTGCTGGGAGTGCTTAAAAGGAGAGCTCCGGCAGCACAGCCGCCAGTCTTATTCTCTCTCCAATAAAGTGCTGAATGGACCACGCTGGTTGTGTCTTCTTTTCCTGTGCCTGATCTAACAAATAATATCTAGCTTCTGGGCTTGTCCACCACATATGATAATAAGATCCTGGTATTTGATGGCATTTCCAACATTTAGCTGATTTGTCTTTAAACATTTTTTCTGGAAGCATATGACATTTATAAAACATTTTATATTGAGTCTCTTTATATGCAGTGGACATTGTTAGTTTATAGTTCCTTTCCCATAACCATTGCCATCTATCGAGCTCAATTGCATATTCACAATTTTTTTGCCCAAGCAATCATTGTTTCCTTTACTTGTTCTTCCTCTAATTCCATACTAAGCATAAAGCTACAGATTTTTAAAATTATTTTATCCTCTGTTCCCATGAGTATCTTATCCAAATCTGTCATTTCTAAATAAAACCATATAATTTTGCGTCTTTTTCACACCTTGCTTGTATTTGCATATGTGTGTACCAGTCTATCACAATCCCTTGTTCCAGGGATGGGTTCTAATTTTTTTTTTACTACCGGTTCTGTGGGCATGGCTTATTTTGTGGGTGTGGCTTGGAGGTCATATGACTAGGTGGGTGTGGCTAGTTGGTCAGAGTCATTTCTGGAAGGTCCTCGCACTTACGACCAGTCCTCGCACTTATGACCCGACTCATTTGTTTGCTTTTTAACACTGATCAGCTGTAGGACGGCCCTTTGAAGCCCCGCGGCAAGAGTTTAAACACTTTTTTCCCCCTCTAGTCATCAGCTGGGACTCAGGAGGCAGCAATAGATTGGGGGTGGGACCAAATTAAAGGTAAGAATAATGTGGGTGGGTGGAGGGGTGGGAGGGCGGGGGGGAGAACCGGTTCGGTGACATCATATCGTCACCACTACCGGCTCGGCCGAACCGGACCTAACCGGGAGGAACCCACCACTGCCTTGTTCTTTCATTTCTTGTTTCCCTTTCAATTCCCCTTGTCTGTAAGTAAGTCTTTATATCTAAAAATATTTCTAAAATTAACCATATTTGGGTGTATCAATGCTCCCATTGTGGATAACCATATTGGAATTTTCAAATAGTATTTATCTCTAACCTTTTCCCACACTAATAACAATGCATTTCTTACATAGTGTCTATGAAAATATGTATGTATCTTACTTCTACCATACCATAAAGCATGTCCTTCCAAAGTTAGTAATCTTATATTTCTTAATTCGATCCATTCTTTCATCCATGTCAATTCTATTGCCTAGTAATATAATTCCCAATTTGGCAGTCCAAATCCTCCCATATTCTTGCATTTTTTTAAAATGGTAGGGATTATTATTAAGTTGCCTATTAAATTTGTCTAGGGCCATACCCTTTAAAAATGCACATATCCTTGACTTCCGGTTGACTCTGTGTGCCTTGTAGACGCTCCTCCGTGAGCGCCTGATCTCTGGCACCATAAAAGCCTCCAGAACAGCAGAAAAACAGCTGTCTGGAGGCTTGAAACCCTTCCCCCTGGGCAAAGGGGAGAGAGGAGAGCCGACAGGTGGAGGTAGAGCCCCCCCCAAGTGCCCTAGGAGAAATTCTGGGGCGCGAAGGGCGAGAGCTCCCTAGAAGCCTGTCAATCTGCTCCGGACCTGGGACGACTCTGCTAATTAGCAGAGCAAGAAGCCGCGACCAATTCTGCCAATAACAAATGAGGGGATTTCCAACATCCTAAATTGCTGCAGGCAGAACAAGCCAGGAGAAGTCAGACTGCAAGTATTCAAACTTAACTCCAATGTTTATTGCCTCCTTCGGAAGTAACAATTTAGTAAATTTGCATCAAAATGGCGATTGAGGCTAGAAAGGGCGTGGAAAGTGAAAGTTAAAGGGAAGTTTCACTGGTAGCCTCTTGCCTGAAAAGAACTTTTGTAATGAGAGAAAGAGGATTTTAAGGCATCAATTTAAGACTGGGGAAAATCTTTGACTTTGATGGACTTTTCCTTTTGGCTTCTGATTAAAATATAAAGATTAATTCAAACTGAAAATGGCCTCAAAACCTGTAAAGACTGTTTCTATTAAAGGAACTGGGAGCGCTGGAAGCTCCCCAGCTCACACTTTTAAAAAGCAAGCCTCTGCCCCCCCCCAACAGATCCACAGACCTTAACGTTTGAAATGATACAAGAAGCCCTAATAGCCACGCAGAATAAACTCACCACTGTGATTAATGAAAAAATTAATGAAACTAATGAAAAAATTAATGAAACTAATGAAAAAATTAATGAAACTAATGAAAAAATACAGGCTGTTTCAGAGGAGATTTTAATTCGGAATCAGCAAATTAGGGAAGACATATTACTTGCATTTAAAGGTCTGGCAGATAATATTGAAATATTGGATGATAAAGTTGAAGAAATTAAACAATCTACGGAAATTCTGGATAATAAATTAGGAGAGACTCAGAATAAAATTGAGAGGACTGAAGCTGATGTAGCAATGATTCAATACAGAGATATGGAATTTGCATTAAGAATAAGAGGGATGAAGGAGAACAAACAAGATAATTTGAAAGAAATGATGTCAGAGGCATTGGCCAAGATGTTGGGGGGGGGGATGAAAGTGGAGTCCTTTTGTGCATATGGACTACTCAGAGGGCTGAAAAAGTTATTTTTGACTGGTCCTTGCACTTTTGACCAGTCCTCGAACTTACGACTGTCCTCACATTTTACGTTTTTGCCCTATCTTGTCACCATGGTGAAGAGAAGCAGTTGTGAAATGAGTGACATGGTTGTTAAGAATGCTGCATGGGCATAAATGTGAGGATGGTCATAAGTGTGAGGACCAGTCAAAAGTGCGAGGACCTGTCAGAAATGACTTTTTTCAGCCCTCTGAGTAGTCCCTATACACATAGCCATGGCCACCCGGTCACATGACCAGCTAGCCACGCCCACCCAGTCACATGACCTCCAAGCCATGCCCACAAAATAAGCCACGCCCACAGAACCCGTAATAAAAAAATTTAGAACCCACCCCTGGTTGGGGGTCACCACAACATGAGGAACTGTATTAAAGGGTCGCGGCATTAAGAAGGTTGAGAACCACTGCTTTATGCCAAAAAATACAGAAAGAGATGGAAAATTGGAAAAAATTATAACTGTCTTTGCTGGGAAGGATAGCCGCAGTAAAAATGAATGTTTTACCAAGGTTTTTATTTCTATTTCAAATGATACCTACACTTAAAAAAGATGAAAATTTGAAGGAATGGCAGAAGGGCATAAATAAATTTGTTTGGGCAGGAAAGAAACTGCAAGTAAATCAAAAGATAATGCAAGATACACAAGAAAGAGGAGGTCTTAAAATGCCCAATTTAAGATTGTACTACGAAGCCGCTGCCCTCTCAGCAATTACTGACTGGATTAACTTAACGGAGGAAAGGATATTAAATATTGAAGGATATGGTCTGGTCTATGGCTGGCATGCCTATTTATTGTATGATAAGAAAGTAGATAAGATGTTTAAAAGTCATACATTAAGAAATGCCCTATTGCGTGTCTGGAAAAAGTATCAATACAAATTAAACGATAAGTTACCAATATGGACAGTACCCAGACACGCGATAGAAAATATACATTTGGAGCAAAAGCAGGATAAGACTACATACAAGGAACTCCTTTATAAAGAAGGAGTTAGACTACAATTAAAATCTATGGAGCAATTAAGAGAAGAAGGAATAATTAGAACTTGGTTTCAGTATGGGCAGCTGCAGGCCAGATGGAGAGAAGATCAAAAAAATGGGTATTATGCAGCAGGATGAGAATTTGATAAAACAAATAAGAGACAAAAGTCAAATGCATATAAAAAGGTTGTATAATGTGTTAGTGGAAATAGACTCAGAAACAGAGCTAGTCAAGGACTGTATGATAAAATGGGCACAAAATATTGGAGAACCTATAATGATGGAAACATGGGAAAAGATATGGGTTAGAAATGTAAGATTTACACAAGCCCAAAACTTAAGAGAGAACTTTTATAAAATGGTTTATAGATGGCATTTAGATCCAAAAAAACTAGCCTGTATGTATTCAAACTTACAACCTAAGTGTTGGCGATGTGAGTGTGAAGATGCTACGTATTTTCATATATGGTGGACATGTAAAAAAATTAAGGCTTTTTGGATAAAAATATTATTATTATTATTATTATTATTATTATTATTATTAATTATTATTATTATTATTATTATTTATTGGTTAATCTTTAGTGAGATTCACAGCCTTTGAGGCTGGTTAATAGCTCAGCAGCTCGAGTCCTAACCAAGGACCTAGGAACTGTTAAGGTATCGTCGGAGGATGTAAGCTGTTCTGAGTAAGGTGGTTTTTTGTAGAGTCAAAATGTTCAAGTCCGGCAAATTTAGGATTCTAAATAGCAGGGTAGCCCTTTGGGTATTGCTCCGAGGGCTCCAATTACAATCGGGACAACACACGATTTCTTGTTCCACAGTCGCTCAACTTCAATTTGTAAGTCCCGGTACTTTGTGATTTTTTCTTGCTGCTTATCTTCAATTCGTGCATCACCAGGTATTGCAATGTTGTTGTTGTTATTATTATTATTATTATTATTAATTATTATTATTATTATTATTATTATTATTATTTATTTATTTATTGATTTGATTTGATTTGTATACCACCCTACTCCCGAAGGACTCAGGGCGGTGAACAGCCAAACAATAAAATACATAAATACAAAAAATTTAAAAACCAGATAAAATCGAATTAAACAATTTTGGCCCAGACAAATTAAAACACCCCAATAATTTAAAAACAGATTAAAATTTACATATTAAAAAGAGGGAAAAGATTAGGCCAAGCCCGCCTGGTGGAATAAAAAAGTCTTCACAGCGCAGCGGAAGGTGCGCAGATCTGGGATCCTCCGTATCTCCGGGGGGAGCTTATTCCAGACAGTATATGGTGTGGTGGATTATTCAAAATATTTTAAAGAAAAAGATTAAATTTACACCACAGTTTTTTTTGTTGGGAATAGTTACGGATTGTACTGTAATAGAGACTAAGTTGGTTTTGAATTTAATAACTGCTGCCTGGTTACTGGTGGCACAATATTGGAAGAAGGAAGATCCACCTACTATTGAGGAATGGACACTAAAAGTCGTGCATTTGGCAGAGATGGCAAAATTTCATCATATCTTAAAGACCATTCAAATGAAAGATATATATCGGAATGGAGAAGATGGATCGACTATATTCAAAACAAGTATCAGACTAAGAAGATTTATTTAGCTTATGAATGAAACATTTTCAATCTTTAGTTTATGTTTATAGGGTTTTGAGCTATAAGGAGTTAAAGACCTAGAGAGAATTTGAAGTCAATAATTTGTTAGCATAATTTAGTTTTATGTTTGTGAATGCTATACCCTGTGCTTGTTCTGGGAAGTCTGGGGGGGGGATGGGTGGGAGGGTAAGGGGGGAGGGAGGGGGTGAGGGGGGAAAGGGGGGGAGAAAATGTTTGTATTTCCTATAAAACTTTTCAATAAAAAAAAATGCACATATCCCCAATCTGATTTTGCCATGCCTTCTAGATAGATCTTCTGTATGAACCCCCATCAAATGGCCACCCTTTCAAGTCATTGTAAAACAAAGTTTCTCTCTTTCCAAACCCATATATGGCCAAGAGATTTTGACATAGCATCTTTCACCTCCTTGTTCCTCAGGCTGTAGATCAGAGGGTTGAGCATGGGGATCACGACTGTGTAGAACATAGAAGCCCATTTGTCTTGATCCATGGAATAGCTGGAGCTGGGCCGAAAGTACATGAAGAGTATTGTCCCGTGGTATAGCCCAACAGCTGTCAGGTGAGAAGCACAGGTGGAAAATGCTTTGTGCTTACCCTCAGCAGAATGCATTCTTAAGATTGTAGCCAAAATGTAAAAATAGGATACAAGAATCATCCCAATGCAGCTTGCTTCAACAAAACCAAAAAAGGTAAATAACACAATCTCACTAATATATGTGTCGGAACAGGAGAGCATTAGGAGTGGAGGCTCATCACAGAAGAAGTGATTGATAACGTTGGAGCTACAGAAAGATAGCCGGAATGTGGACGAAGTTTGTATCATTGAATCTAGCAGGCCTGTAAAGTACGCAATAGTGATCATTTGTTGGCAGGCCTTTTTGGACATTACAGTTGGATAGAGGAGTGGATTGCAGATGGCCACATACCTGTCATAGGCCATCAGAGCCAACAAAAGGCACTCTGCATCTGCAAAGATATCAAATACAAAGAGCTGTGTAACACAGCCACTGTAAGAAATCCTTTTACTTTCACTTAATAAGTCAATTAGCATTTTAAGAGCAATGGTTGAGGCACAGCAGAGATCAACAAAGGAGAGGTTGGCCAGGAAGTAATACATGGGTTTGTGAAGCTGGGGTTTAGTGCAAATCAAGAGAATCATCCCCAGATTCCCTAATACAGTGATGATATAAACAAATAGGAAGACCGTAAAAAGAACAAGCTGCATTTTCGGATTGTCTGTGAATCCCTGAAGTATGAATTCAGAAAAGGCAGCAGAACCATTTCCTTTATCCATGATTTCCTGAGTAGATGGATTGGTTCAGGTGATTTGCTGATCCTGAAATGTCTTTCTGATCTCTTGTTAGGAAAAAGAAAATTATATTACTTCATCCTTGTTCCTTTCTTCATGCAACAAGAATTTGGATTTTTTTCAAGAGGGATTGGGACGACACTACTAACTTAATTCAGTATACAACATATTTGCTAGATGGAATTTGCTTATTGTGCAAAAATGTAGTCTTTGAATATATGTATAAGATTCTAATATACCTGCTTCATTTCCTCTTTTCAGTTAAGGGAAGAATGCAGATTAATATATTGCTAGAGTAATATGTTGCTATATAAGTATGTTTCAAATATTTATGAATTTATGTTCTGCTAGCAGCCATAATCCTCCTCTTACTCACATTCCAAAATCGGGCAATATATTCTAGAAAGGGGGATGATTTGAGAGCTCTAGATCTCCTGTTTTGAGAATATATAGAAAATTGTAGTATATTTACTTCATCTGCTGTTTCAATTAAGGATGCAGATTAATATATTGCTACAGTAGGTACAGTATGTTGCTGTAAAAGTATGTGTCAAATTTTAATTATTCGCTGGCAATCATAATTCTCCCTCTTCCACCTGTTTGGAAACTGTGCAATATATTCTAGAATGGATTTGATTTGTAAGCTCCAGATTTCTTGTTTCAGGTTCCATTTGTGCCAATTCTACCTTCAGATGGTAGATAGTTAGTTGGCAGTAGTAGAGTACATGACATTCCCAAACCATTCATTTATCAGTTTTGTTTGTTTGGGTTCTAGATTTCAAGTTCAACTAGCCATACATTCTTGATTTCCATTATTCTCAGTATTCTAGCAATATGGAATTTCATGTCCTTTTATGGTGAAAAAGCCCATGTCTTTGCTTTTACATAATTTTTTCTCCACATTTCCCAGCTTTATGTACCTAGGGTGTCTCTTGCCTTTTTTCTGATACTAGTCAGAAAGTATCAGAAATTGATTTGCATTCTTATTTTTTGAGGCTTTCTCTACATCATGGGACTCTGTTGAAGGGATCCTTGCAACCAATGCATTTTTACTTTTCTTACAGCAAAATGATTCATCTGGAATCAAGTCTTAAGAAGGCTTTAATATCTAAAAAATACAAACCATTATAAATCCATTGAAATTCTAAAACTAAGATTGTCTCTGATTTTATTATGGTTTAGAAATTTCTCAGTAACATTTTCCATGTGGATTATTATTATTATAATTAATATAAACATGCTGTTTGTAAAGACTAAGTTCAACACTAATATAAATCTTTTTGTGAATTAGCAAACATACCTGGAATTGAGTCAGTGGCTTCTTTGCTATGATAAAACTGGTAAACAGGGACAGAGTTCTTAAATGTCTTTTCATATCACTTGGGATATTGTCTCTTATGTACTTCAGTACCCCAGATCCTGGAGATAAGTGGTTGCGTTTTCATGCTTTTTTGCAATAGTTTTAATTGGAGACTATCATTAAGTAAATAACACCTTGAGTCCCAATCCACAACTCAACAATGTTCAGATCCAGCCCAAGAACGACACTGAACAATCCAACCAAAATTCATTTTTTTATTTGCTGACATCACATAGACAGAATCTTTTTTTATTAAAAAGTTTTACAAAGAAAATCCCCCCCAATATTCCCCCCACCCTTTTTCCCTCCCAACCACCCCTACATCCCTTCCCCCCTTCCCATCCCAGCCCCCCCCCCGACTTCCCAGAGCAAAATACAGGGTATTTCAATTAACAATCATAAACTAAATTAACCTAACTATTCTTAAATTACCAAATCCCCCCCGAAACCTTAACTCCACTATGGATAACATAATACTTCTAGAGTTTAACATTCATTCATAAGCTATTTGATATTGTCTTGTCTGATACTTATTTTGAATATAATCAATTCATCTTCTCCATTCCGATATGTATTTTTCTTGTGTATAGTCCTTCAAATACGCTGAAATTTTCGCCATTTCCGCTAAATTCACTACTTTCAATGTCCATTCTTCAATAGTAGGCAAAGAGTCCTTCTTCCAGTATTGCACTACCAACAGCCTAGCTGCTGATATTAAGTTTAAAATCAGTTTAGTCTCTAATCTGTACAATCCGTAGTTATACCCAATAAAAACAATTGAGGAGTAAATTTCAACCTTTTTTTTCAGGATGTTCTGCATCACCCACCAAATTTTTATCCAAAATGCCTTCATCTTCTTACAAGTCCACCATATATGATAATAAGTTGCATCATCACATTCACATCTCCAACATTTAGCTTGCAAATTCGGGTACATACATGATAATTTTTTAGATCTAAATGCCATCTATAAAACATTTTATAAAAATTTTCTCTCAGGTTTTGTGCTTATGTAAATTTAACATTTCTGACCCAAATCTTTTCCCATGTTTCTATCATCACTGGTTCCTGAAAGTTTTGTGCCCATTTTATTATGCAATCCTTAACCAATTCCGTTTCTGAATCTATTTCCAGTAGTGCATTATACAACCTTTTAATATGCATTTGACTTTGATCTCTAACCTGTTTTACCAGGTTTTCCTCATTTTGCATAACACCAATTTTTTGATCTTCCCTCCATCTAGCTTGAAGCTGACCATACTGAAACCAAGTATAGATTATCCCTTCTTCTTTCAATACATTTAAATTTGCAATTTTTACAATTTACCCCTTTCCATAAAAAGAAGCTCTTTATAAGTAATCACTTCCTGTTTCTGTTCTATACTTATATTTTCTATTGCACGTCTGGGGTTTACCCATATAGGTATCTTGTAATTTAACTTATATTGGTACTTTTTCCAAACCCTCAGCAAAGCATTTCTAAGTATGTGGCCCCTAAACACCTTATCCACTTTTTTTTCATATAACAAGTAAGCATGCCATCCATATAACAAATCATAACCTTCTATGTTTAACATTCTCTCTTCAGTTAAATTAAACCAGTCACTAATTTGCGATAAAACAGCTGCTTCATAGTACAATCTTAAATTAGGCATTTTAAGACCTCCTCTCTCACGTACGTCCTGTATAATTTTCAATTTCACTCTTGGTTTCTTCCCACCCCAAATAAAAGTATTAACTCCTTTCTGCCACTCCCTCAAATTTCCATCTTTCTTAAGCACTGATATCATTTGAAACAAAAATAGGAACCTGGGCAATACATTCATTTTTATTACTGCTATTCTTCCCAGTAGAGATAGTTGTAACTTTTTCCAATTTTCCATTTCTTTCTGCACTTTTTGCCAAAGAACTTCATAATTGTTCTTGAATAATTTCATATTGATGATGCGGCTGCAATATATACTCCTAGATATTTAACCTTTTTAACTATTTCAAACCCCATTATTCTTCCTAAGTCTTCTCTTTGAGATATGGACATATTTTTAGTTATCATCTTTGTCTTATGTTGATTTACTTTAAATCCAAATACCTTACCATATTGACCTATTATGTCCAACATATGTGGAGCCGATTCTATAGGTTGAGATAAAGTAACAACCAAGTCTTCTGCAAACGCTCTTAATCTATAATCTTGCTGTCTAATTACAATTCCTTTTATTTTATCAGAATCACGTATCTTATTCAACAAAACTTCTAAAGTTAAAATAAACAGCAATGGAGACAAAGGGCAACCCTGCCTTGTTCCTTTCTCAATTTTAAAAGCTTCTGTTAAACTTCCATTAACTATTATTTGTGCTGTTTGTTCCTGATATATTGCTCTAATTGATTGTGTAAAATACTGTCCGAAATGCATTTTTTCTATTATCTTAAACAAAAATTGCCAATTCAATTGATCAAATGCCTTCTCTGCATCCAAAAATATGAACGCTGCAGGGACTTGGTTGTTTTTTTCCAAATATTCCAATAGATTTACAATTTGTCTAACATTATATTTCATTTGCCTCCCTTTTATAAGCCCTGATTGTTCATTATGAATTGTTTGTTGCATAACTGGCATTAATCTATTCGCTAATATCTTGGCAAAGACTTTGTAATTAGTGTTCAAAAGTGATATTGACCTAAAATTTTCAGGTTTGGCACAGTTTTGATCTTCTTTCGGGATCAATGAAACAAAACCTGTTCTCCAAGAGGGTGGGACTCCTCCCCCTGATTGAATTTTACAAAATAAAACTCTAAGCGGTTCTACCATTTCAGACTGTAAATTCTTGTAATAAACAGCTGTTAATCCATCTGTTCCCGGAGCTTTACCTATTTTTAACTGTTTAATTGCTGCAATAATCTCAGAGGTTATTGGCTGATTCAATTCTTCCCTCTGTTCTAACATTAATTCAGGAATATTCTCTTCTTTTAGGTATCTATCTATATCTATACCTTGTATTGAATCACTGGCCCCCTCAGAGAGGGCCCGCAATCTGGGTGTCCTTCTGGATACGCAGCTGTCCTTGGAGGAACATCTGACGGCTGTTGCCAGGGGGACTTTTGGTCAGGTTCACCTGATACGCCAGTTGCGGCCCTTTCTTGATCGGGATGCCCTGCGCATAGTCACTCATGCCCTTGTCACCTCTTGCCTGGACTACTGTAACACTCTCTACATGGGGCTCCCCTTGAGGGGCACCCGGAGGCTCCAACTGGTCCAGAATGCGGCCGCACGGGTAGTTACGGGAGCTGCATGGCACTCCCATACAACACCTCTCCTGCGTGAGCTGCACTGGCTCCCAGTGGTCTACCGGGTGCGCATCAAGGTGTTGGTTATCACCTTTAAAGCGCTCCATGGCATAGGACCTAGATATCTTCGAGGCCACCTGCTGCTACCGACGGCCTCCCATTGACCTGTGCGCTCCCACAGAGAGGGCCTCCTTGTGGTGCCATCAGCCAAACAATGTAGGCTGGTGACTCCCAGGGGGAGGGCCTTCTCTGTGGGGGCACCCACCCTCTGGAACCAACTGCCCCCAGAGATAAGGAGAATCCAAGACCTCGATGCCTTCCGCCGTGCCCTTAAAACTTTCTTTTTTCAGCAAGCCGGGCTGGCTTAACTCTTTTAAATGTTTTTAATTGGTTTGTTATTGTT